CAAAATAAGATGTAAAAGACCCTCTCAACTCTTAACTAAACGGGATGAATTGCATCGGAACCGCAACGAGCTGGGCGCTGTTAAATGGCCTCATTGTTTGCTGTCACGTTTGCAGGATTTAGTTTTCGTTTTGATTCTTTTTTTAATGTTATAATTAGTTAGTTTTAATCTTTTAACACTGCAGGTGCAATTAAAAAAAAAAGCTAAGAAATAACAGCCATAGAAGTTTGCTTCTGCCACTGACGTTTTCTTTTCTTTATTTAGAAAAACACATATTTGTTTGTATATCTGTCTTTTGTGCCCGTAAGTCAAAATGGACTTAGAATTTCTAAATTTCAAGTTACATAAGGGTTAGGGTTGGTCTGAGACTTCTAACTCAAAATGCTGAGAAGATAACACCACATGTACCATGATAATAATAACTATAAATAAAGTTGTAGATTTTAAATGGAAAATTGATAAATTTGATTATACCCTATAATATTATAAATAATATTTTTTTGTAAATAATAAAAATGTTGAGAAATAAACAAAGTCTGTGGAAGTTATCATATAATACATAGTAACAAAATTATTTTAAAGGTAGCCTTTATTACAACAGATCACTGGTCAGTGTTGGGGGATAATGTGTTTAAAATACAAAATATGAGTAACTGTATTCCGTTACAGTTACCGTTTAAAAATGTGGTATTTAGAATACAGTTACATTGTTGAAATAAATGGATTACACTGCGGTATTTTCCTGTTTTATATTGTCGCGGGTCAGGACTGTTTGGGTTTTGTTTGACAGCTATGTTCTGCGGCAACGTTATGGTTGCCATGGTTACAGGGTGCCGCTCTCTCTGCGAGTGTGTGTTTCCTGGGTGAGAGAGGCCTTTTTGTTGTTGTTGTTGTTGTTGTTGTGCTAAGCTAATGGGCAGAGTGTTACAGGTATCGCCCTAAAGAATGTTGCCTCATGGGCAGTGTAGTCCGTGCTGCAGGGAGAATGGACCGCCATACCCGTTATGTGTCTGTGATCGCGAGGAGGGAGAAAAAGGAGAGTGGAAAAGTAACAGTTGTCATTCAGCAGAAACGGGAGCTGGAAGCATGTAAATATAATAATAATCACTGCAGCCAAGAAGAGTGCCTGACAAGCCCAGTTCTAAGTATGCTATTAAGACTCGACTGTAGGCCCTACACCGTGTTCGTGTTTTCCTCCGAAACAATAAGTTCCGTTGGAGCAGCCTTTCAACGCCTTTCTCTGTCTCTCGCAAGCAAAGTTGACCCAGATAACAAAGTAAAGCTATTTTTCATCTATGAGCCCAACACGGAACCGGACGTATTAGCCAGAGGTCCCTTTACTATGGTTAGGAGCCGCGGACCTCCAGTAATAGTAATAAATCACACAGAAATAGTACATTCATGTAGTTGTAAAAAGCACGATAATATATTAAGTAATCCAAAGTATTCAGAATACGTTACTCTCATTGAGTAACGTAACGGAATACGTTACAAAATACATTTTGGGGCATATATTCTGTAATCTGTAGTGGAATACATTTTAAAAGTAACCTTTCCAACACCCTACACTGGCTGCATTAAAGCGTGTATTGACAAAGTCAACCTCTTATTTTGAAAGCTTCCGGTTATGTTCAGCTTACCATGCTGCTGTTGATAAGTGCTGCTGTTGATAAGTGCTGTTGTCGATAAGTGCTGTTGTCATGCGCGAAGGAAATATTGTTTATTTACAATTATTCTGCGCAAGACTGTGATATTACGCAATACCAACTTTAAGTGTGCAGACTGTAGTTATTATTTTATTGTATGACACTCGGTGAAGATTATGTCCAAACATTGCAGCATGTTAATATTTAATTCTTCATCTCTTTATTTCTGTACTAAATGTGTTATGTTATCATGAAGAAAATTAGGTGTGGCGCCTTCCCTCTTGCAGATGAGCTAATGTGCTTAAAATTCGTATGTCTTCAAACAGGTTCATCCTAATGTACCCCACAGTTTCCATGTGCAGAGATAATGACCTCATGAAAGCTGCTATTCAGCTCTGAACCAGTTTTCCAAGAAAACAAGCTCAAACCAACTCAGTTTCCTATGAGATACAAAAGCAGCAGAACGCACAGCTGAATGCTTCCGAGTAGAGCGCATTCCCGGAAAACACCAACACGCACGCACACACCCACACACACATGCTGCACACATACACATACAACCAGCTGACCTCTGCTGCTGAACTGTGACCCCTGCTGCTGCTTTCCTGCATGACTTTTATCACCAACACATGTGCACAATTAAAGGGAAAGAAATGAGGACACACACACTAGAAAATACAGAAAACATTTTATTGTAGAACCATTGTAAAAGAACAGCCCTCATTTGATCCTAGTCAGAGCTCAATCAGGTCACTGATGAAGGCAACTGTAAATAATGTGGATGAGTTTGTGTCTGCTAAAGCGTGGTCTGTGGGCACAGCACATGCCTGGGTAGTGTACTGTAAAGGATACTCCACCCTGAAGCAAAGAAATTCATGTAACTTCCCCCACAGATCTTGATGAGCTGAACTAATTATTAGTCAGGCGATCAAAGAAGATGGAAATAAAAAGGCAGGAGAAGAGTGGAGAGTAAAAGAAAATTTTAACCCTTAACCCCCCCCCCCCAGCTTTATTCTGGAGACCAGCAGAGCAGTTCAACAACACAGATATGGTTTAACTGGCAGCTCATTATAGTCTGCACTGTTTCCAATGGTCAGCAGGGGGCGACAGAGAGCCGAATGAGAAAATGACCTCACTGCTCTCTTGATCTGCAGCCACTGATGAGATTTTGATCTTGATTGCTAGTTTCCAGTAAGCTTTGAAACAACACGTTGCTCATAGTCACATGCAGAGTAAAACAGTCGATAAAGCAGAATATGCTGTAGGGAGTAGTTACCCTGTGATCGACAAGTTAGTCGATCAGATGAGTGTGGAATATCCTCTCAGACTGACACATCTAGATTTTTTTTAAAACCCTACAAAACAAGACGGCAGCAGCTGAGACTTTGAAGTGAAATGACCAATGTCAGAGAGGCTACCCCCAACAGTTACAGTACTATGTAAAAATCTCGAGCCAACCCCCTTTTCTTTATATTTTGCTTGGAAATTGGTGTATCTAAATTTGAAATGTGCAATCATACACGGAAATGGGGTATATAAATGGCCTGTATTTGTATAGCGCTTTACTAGTCCCTAAGGACTCCAAAGCACTTCACACAACCAGTCATCCACACACTGGTGATGGCAAGCTACATTGTGGTCACAGCCACCCTGAGGCGCACTGACAGAGGCAAGGCGCCACTGGGCCCTCTGACCACCACCAGTAGGTGGCGGGTGAAGTGTCTCGCCCAAGGACACAACAACCGAGACTGTCCAAGCCGGGGCTCGAACCAGCAATTTTCCGATTACAAGGCGAACTCCCAACTCTTGAGCCACAATCGCCCCGATACATAAGGCAAAAACAATGTCTGTATGATTATAATACGCTTGAAAGTCAATAATTTATGTGACCAACTTCGAAAATCTTCAGCACAGTCTAAACTCTAGTATTTTCTTTTCTGTATTTTCTTTAAGTAGTATTCAGAAATAGTTCTGGAGGACATTTAGCTTTTTTCTTTCTTGGTTGCCTTTTGTTCTGTTCTCTATCAACATCATCACACAATGCTTTAATAATTATCAGGTCTGGGCTCTGGAGAGGCCAATCCATGACTGGCAGTGATCCACTGTGTTTTTCTATTGAGGTATGCTTTTACTGCATCTCTGGTGTTTCTGGGATTCATTTTGACAACATCTACAACACCATTGGCTGAAATACACCCCTGAACCATGACAGAGCCTCCACCATGTTTTACAGATGGCTGTAGACCCTTAGCTGTTGTACTTCTCTCCCGACCTCCTCTCTACATCTGTTGCATCCAATTTCATTATGCATGTCCAATAACAATAAACATAATGCTATTCATTACTACGTATCAATAATTTGAACAAAATATTACACTTACATTCATCACTCCATTAGACCTGTTGTCACTGATTTTTGTCCAGTTCTTGTGTAATGTGGCATATGTCAGCCTTTTCTCCCTGTGTCCCTTCCTTAAGAATCCTTTCTTGATGCCCGTCCCTCCACTGAGAGCATTTGTGATGAGGTTTTAGTGAACAGTAGAAGGGTTAGCTGAAGGGCCAGATGCATTTCTCAGGTCATGTTTCAGGTCTTTGTTGGATTTTTTCCCACTTCTTCAGGACATGAATTTCAGAGACTGTTCATCTGCTGTTGATAGTTTTAAAGAAGTTTTTAAGCCACGTTTATCCTCCACTTGTTCCGCTTTATCAGCGTTTTTACAGACACACTGCACACTATGTTGAGATAAGCCAAGATTTTGGCTAAAAGCTATTTGAGCTGACGTCTTTCATAGATTTGAACTAAAGAAATCAGTTCTTTGTTGTTGTAAAACAAAACTGTTTTACTCCTTAAGTTTTTTGAATTATATATTTGAATGATTCAAATGATTCATAGGTCAGTGTTAAGAGTTTTAACAAATAAGTAAAAAAAAAAAATCTCCTGAAAATGGTCAAGGACTGGACGCAAAATAACTGAAAAAGCATTCAGTGTTGAGAGAAAAAAAAAACTATAAAAGACCTGCAGAAAGCCTGACTCCTTCCAACCAAAATCTAAAGAAATGACGTGTGGCCCAAGACTTTTACATGTTATTGTATGTTGCTATTGTCTATTTTTAGAGCTTTACACAGAGATGAGGCTGCACAGTGAAAACCTACAATGCAATGTAAGTTTTATAATGTCTGCTGCATGATTTAAAATGACTTTTAACAAGAATTTACAGTTTCATGATGATGATGCATCCCCCCTTTAAAAAATGATTAGATTAAGAAACTAGACATGAATAAATTCAAATCAAATAACAAGTCAATTCTTAGATATCGTGTTGTGTGCTTGTGTTATGCAAATGTGTGTAATGTCTAATTTTCTTCCCCGTTTTCTCCAGCACCCTTGATGAGGCGTTTGTTGCCCCTTTTCCCTCCCGGGCCACGGGGCTTGACAAATGCCTGCTTTAAAGTGTGCTCCATGGGGTGCACCTCCTCATACAGGAAGTCTTCTGTCAGACCATCACCACTGTCTATCTCCATCTAAGCAGGTATGGAGAGTAGACAGTCATTAGACAGTTTACACAGTGACAGTGGTACTACAGATTATTTGTCACCGTCTCTGTGGGAGAGCTGTACCTTTTTAGTGACTTCCAGCTGGTAGTCTCTCTCCACCTCGTCCAGTAGCCTGTTCTTACAGCTGGAGTATAACATCCGCTCCTTGATGCTACAGGTGTACCCAGGCATCGAGTATATAAACACTGAAACATAGATGAAGCTGATCTGTTGATATTTTCTGCCTCACACAATCAGCTTCACTAGCTACTTCACTACTTTCTGTTATAGATGACGTACTGTGCTGATTTCCTCATTTGTACATAAGCATCATTCATGACATGAAAATGCGCAAGACCATAGTGGGTCTTAAGTAAAAAGAGACACAGGCCTAGATAGCTGCAAACGTTACATATTGTAGATCCGACTGGAACATCCTATAATTAAGCACACATGAGGCTAACCCCACACTGCTTTTCAGAGTAACTAACTGAATAATTCCAGCTCATTTGTTCAGTATAAAAATCACTTGTACAAAAGGTTCAAACTAGATTAACAGCTCGGCAGCTGATTATATAAAACAAACAATGTTTTTAAATAGGTTTCGCATGAAAAGGAGACACACAAGCTTATATCTCCTCTGTCACTGTCAATGGTAATTCATTTACATGTGTACTGGAACAAAACAGGCGTTCATTTGCAGCTGTTATGGAGACTGGACTAGTCAAGTCCAAGTTAACACTCAAATCTTTTTAGCTTTTTGGCCCAGCCGCTGACAGAAATAGCTGCTATATCTGTAGCTCGGTCATCAATGTTCATAATTCTAACTGTTTGTGTCTGCTTATTGGTGCTGGCTTTATCAGAGCTTCTTCACAGCTGCCTGTTACTTGAAATCAGGCCAGTGAAAGCAGGGAACATAAACAACAGAACCAAACAGCGAGGCGAAAGATGATAAAATCCCCCACAGACCTGAGGAAACTGCAGAGTTCACATTATACAGCAAATGTGATTTGTCAGTATCTATAGAAACACTTATTTGTGAAGTGAATAAGCTGAGCGGTGCAGTGTTCTTGATGGTAATTCAGTGCCCTTTTTATATGTGTATTGTGCACACTTGTTAATTATTTTTGTAATATTTTTGTAATTTTTATTTTCGTGTTTACAATCAATCAATCAATCAAGCAGGCAGGCAGGCAGGCAGGCAGGCATATAGGTAGTAGTTGTAGATGAGTTGGCATGCAAACTATGGGGGACCAAAGCAATAACAAGGACATTTTTGGTGTAGCACCCACTTTGCGACCAGTTTTACCCAGCAACCACTCAGCAGCCACTCAACAACCAACCTGTCGGAGAGTATGCATTTTTTTTCCCAGCCTCCTGGAGAACTGACCAGTCTCTAGACCTGTGTGACTGAGGCCTAACTAAACTTGCTAGTGTTAGCTAAAAGAAATTCACCTGGATGACCTCAAAGCTTCAAAATAATGGTCCCCAAACCAATTGATGATGTCACAATAGCTAAAGCCAGTCTTTATGTACAGTTTAACTTGTGGTTGGCAAACCACATGGTGTCACTCAACAAGAATTAGAAGAAGTTAGGAGAGACTAACATCCTGAAAAAAGTGGAGGTGATGATAGTTAAAATAATATGTGTGAACTCTGTAAGCTACTTTCATTGCCCTTCACTTTTATAGCACCAAATTAGTGCTTTACAAGTCACAGACAGTGCGTGAGGAACTCAGTGAGTTTTTACTGACCCAGAGCTTCCTCCTGCTGGCCCTGATGGGAATGTTTGAAGATGAAAAAGTGGTATCTAGGTGAATCTGTGGGAATCCTGTAGGGAAGTTCGTGGATTTCTGTAGGTTTAGTGTGAACCAGCTCGATGGTCTCTCTGTCTACATCCAGCCTCTGCAACACAACATACGCAAGCAAATGTAATTACTTTTGAGGGGTCAAGTCACGTGCAGTTAGTTTCACTGGCAAAAACACACCCTTAGATGTTGTTATCAAATATATGTTGTATACTTTTTACTGTATACATGTAAATATTCACTGTTTAATGAGCTATAAATGTTTTCTATGGGGGCTCACCAGCTGGATATAGTTGATGCGTTTATGCTTGAGTTGCTGCAGAGCTCGTTTGGCCTCTTCTTGTAAAGGAAACGCAAGACCCTGAAGAGTCTGTGCCCGTTTGTCCAAGCCAAACTCCATTGTTACCTTCAGGGGAGGGAAAAACATATTTGCACTGCTTCTTCCTCACATGAAATGCAACTAAATCAGCCAAAAAAACAAAATCAAAAAACAATCTATGTCTATGCCGAAGACTTCACAAACCCTTGCTCTCGCTGTCGGAGTCCCAATTCGTCTGCGTTCATCCTGCAGACAAAAGAAACAGTATTGAAATCACTATACAATAAAGTTTTAACATAAACATACTTGAATTCTTTTATCATAATGAAAACAAAATCAACATACCCACACAACTTTATCCTGCAAGGAAAACACACACAGGATGAGCACAGATAACTCACGTACCTATAAGAGTCATATAGCTTTGACAGCCTGTCTGTACCTCTGTGATTTTAATTCGTTGTAACTCCTGCTCAGCTGCTGTGAGAGGAGCTGGGGAGGAGCAGGAGGACCTGTGGCGAAGGTATCCCTGGAAACACACGTCTTCCTAGAAACACAGAGACACCAATGGGTTGGTTGTGAGTGGCAGTCCATCAGTTATTATGCAGGAAGGACCATACTGACCTCCACCGTCCCAAATACTTCGTCTTTGATGTGACCTCCTCCAAACTCTTTCTTCAGTGTGGCACGAGTCGCTGCATACACCATCTTCTGCCTCACCTGGAGAACACCAGGACAGACACAGCGACAAAAAACCTTCACACAGTTTTACTGGTTTTCTGTAGCAGTGGTTCTTTTCAAAAATAAAGTATTTGTGAGCGGGGAAAAACAGCCTGTATAACTGAGTTTGATTACAATTTGTAATTAAACATCCATCCATTCACTTCCGCTTATCCTTTTCAGGGTCGCGGGGGGCGATGGAGCCTATCCCAGCTGTCATAGGGCGAAAGGCGGGGTACACCCTGGACAGGTCACCAGTCTGTCGCAGGGCTAACACATAGGGACAGACAACCATTCACACTCACATTGACGCCTAGTGGCAATTTGGATTATCCAATTAACCTATCCCCACAAGCTGCATGTCTTTGGACGGTGGGAGGAAGCCAGAGTACCCGGAGAGAACCCACGCAAACACGGGGAGAACATGCAAACTCCACACAATTGGAATTGAACTCAGGACCTTCTTGCTGTGCGGCAACAGTGCTAACCACCGTGCCACCGTGCTGCCATTCTCACCTGGAGAACACCAGGACAGACACAGCGACAAAAAACCTTCACACAGTTTTACTGGTTTTCTGTAGCAGTGGTTCTTTTCAAAAATAAAGTATTTGTGAGCGGGGAAAAACAGCCTGTATAACTGAGTTTGATTACAATTTGTAATTAAAGAAAAAGAAAAAAGAAATCTATTACTAAACGGTGTCATTTTTATTGTCACGCAATAATAATAATAAAATGATATTATAATTGTTTTTTTCTAACAAGTTCTAGTTACATTGTTAGAAAAAGTAGTTTCTTCTTCACTAGCAAGGGCAACTTGAGCGATCAAACTCTTTTCCATTGTTTTGATTTGATCAGAGTTAATGTGGGGGAGAGGTCCTGCACTAGCATGTGGGATTTGTTTTCTGTTTTCAGCTGTTTTTCTTACTGAACTAATTATAGTGTAATTTGTTTAGGAATAATACATGATTTTTATTCTTATTATCATATTTTTATTTGATCATTTTATTAGCATTTTATTATTATTTTTATTATGATTAATTTTTAGAAATTAAAAAATGTTAAAAAATTAAGATAAAAGTGAAACATTTCCTGCAGCACTCCAAAGTGATGGTGTGGGCAATATTGCACACATCCTGTCTATGTATGGAAGCTTGTTTCTGCCACTGGAAAAAATCACATCCATAAGACAAAATGTACCAACCTGTTATTATATAATAATTTTGGGATAATAACCTACAAATCTGACATATGTATGGCATTTCAAACAGTTATATTCAGCATGTGCAGAGGCTGTTTTTACATGAATTTGCTACAAAGTCTTTCTGTGCTCAATTTAAATTTGAGATTAAGATGTTGGCTCACAACCACGATCACATTAACTCAGAAACTGTAAATGTAAATAAAATCTAAAGATGATTATTTGTATATATATATTTAAGTAAAAAGTAATAGTTTGATTTTATTCTCTAAAAAGAGAATAAAATCAGACAGCCTTTCTCTTACTTTTTAGATGATCTCTGAGCTGTTTTTTTCCTTTTTAAGACATAAATTGCTGTTAACTATGTTAAATAAAACAGAATTGAAAACAAAATGTAAAAACAAACTAAAAAACATAATATCTCTGATTCTAATATTTTTGGAGAAGGCAACAACACATCAGATATGTTACAGATCTTAAATTATATTTAAAAAAAAATCTATTTTCAATGTGTGTTCACTAACAATAAGCATAAACTGATTTTAGCCTCAACTTAAACTAATATTAAGACATTTTTGCCACTAAACATGAAGTTATTTTGATTTTTCCACAGGACACTGTCCTACTTTTATGTCAGTCTACAGTGATGGTTTCGTAAATGTGCTGCACACATACTGGTGATTGGTCAGGTGACCATGCGATGAAGATCCACTCATAACCCTGCGCGTTCTTGGAGTCCAGGCGGTAGAGGATGTAGCAAGGCTCTAGAGGCGTGAGCAAAGGAAGCAGGAACTGGTCATAATCCTTGTCCCAGCTCCGGGCTGGCTCTTTGTATGAATGTAGCACCAATTCCTCTGCAGAGAGAAAAGAGTGAACAAAGTCAAGATTTGGAGATGTTTAATGAAAGCTCACTTATATCAAATACTGTAAAATGCCACAAATATTCCATTTTTACCGTTTCTGATAATAATCTTCAGGATTCTGATGGCACCTCCCCTCGCTCGGGCCAAAAAATCTTTCAGCTCAGATGTTGCTTAAGTAACCAGATATAAGGCAGACAAGTCAAAACTGAGGATGGGTGGTTGAAAGCCAGTGAGACAGAGCTGACCAAGTAACAACCTGAAACTCTACTTCAGGGAAAAAATTTGATCCACTGCCAGACGGTCACACCATCACCTGCAGTGACTCAGAGAGCAAACATGTGCCCCCCAAGAATCACTGAAGGATCTGATCGACCATCGTCGATAAATCCCCCAATTTGAAAAGCCTAAGGACAGAGCGTCATCACAGAAAACTCAAACTTTGGCTGTTTGTTATGTACTTTCCTTCTCTCTTGCCATGGTTACCAAACACAGCGCTCTCATTAATGATGCAAGATCAGGTGAGAAAGGTGAGAGAGGTTCGCTTCCGTCAGCCTGCCCACCTTCACGCTCCGATTACCAAAAGCCATAACACACATAAAAAGCAATGTATGCATGAGATTCAACTATAAGAGCCTGAATGTGCTAAACATTGTTAGCACTGACATCACAAAGGTGAAGAGAAATTTTAAATGACTAAGAACAGATTAAAAATGTTAGCACATACTTTTATAATAACACAGGATAAATTAGCCTAAAGAAGCTAAGCGATCACTTGAGAACAATCTTTAATTTTTTTTTCAGAAAAACATCAGAAGATGTGAAGATGTGTTATTAGCAGCAGTGTAGCTCAGAGTCTGTTAATAAAAAAGCATTTAAAAAGCTTTTCAAACTGAGCTCAGGGAAAACTGGGATAAAACTTAAAGGCACAGTTTACATTTAAAAAAATAAACAACTTACCAATAATTCCAGTTTGGTGAGACATCTTTTGGCAGTAAGTTTTCACCGCTTCACACTCCTCTCATCCAACAAGGACCAGGTCCAGGTCACAGTGTGTCCTTGCTCTTCTTGCTCAGCAGGTAGGCTGAGCTGATGGCAGACGGAGGGACCCACGCGCACCAGTGACATAAACGCCTTGAGGGTGACTCAGGAGCTTCCTAACACTTGAAATACAATCTGCGGAACTGTGGCTGATGAGTAATAACGTGCCTGTCAGGGGATATGCCACCCTCACCACTGATCTAAAACTCTTTGCGTATCGATGACCACAACTTTAATAGTCTCGGCGGGGGAGCGTCTCGCAGGTCACATACTGTCCTGTACTGTAACCTGCGGGAGGGCTCTGCAGAAACCCACCACACATGATGTCGGGGGTCAGTGCCACATTTTCAGATGCTGCCACATGTAATGGCAACTGATAACTCGATCAGAGAGTGGCTGATCAGCTGCAGCAGACGCATGATCTCAAATTCCAGCCACCTGGTCACAGAAATGTGACACCAAGCAAGAATCTGACCGCAACACTTCAACATTGTTTCCTGGACTAAGAATTTAGATGGTGGGGGCCTCGGGTGTTCACAGTATATTTTGATCTGCAAGGTTAGCTCCAAAAGCCAATGAAAGGGTGAACAGGGAGAATAGAGCAGCTACATAAAGCAACCTTAAGTGTTAAAACACGAGAATATGAGGTTTCTGATGAGAAGACAGAAGAGGTGTAAACTGAAGAGATCCAAACATTAAGTGTCCCTGAATGGTCTGAACAAAAGGATGTAGGAACTAACAAACTCACCAAAGTAACACACACACACACACACACACACACACACACACACACACACACACACACACACACACACACACACACACACACACACGCACAGAGGTGGGTGAGAGAAATATTAGTGTGTACCTGTGAGGTTACCTGTGATAGGATCATCCATTATTCACTCAGTGGTGAGTACAGAACCCAAGCATCTATACATTATTTAACACAGCACCCCCCCCCCCCCTCCTCGACTTCAGAAAGACACAGTTAATGTGCAAAAAAAAAAAAAATGACCCACTTATAAAAACAGAAAAAAGCTGAGTGCACTTCTCTCACAGAATAATAAAGTAACAACACAAATATCTGTTTGCGTCTCTTCTCCCACTGCACTTTATGTACTCATAAAAAGCTCTGTGTATTTTACTGTATAGAATAACATTTGTAGATCTTATATAATTTTGCCTTTTTTGTACACAAGTTTTCTTTTTTTTGTTTTATTTTTCGAGTATGTCTCTAAATCTCTTTTTCTTCCTGTCCCTCATGTGGCTGAGTTTCCCCAGTGTGGGATTAATAACATCCAAAATTATTACTATAGTGCTGTATGATCACTGTTAAACTCTCCAATATGAACATCAAATAAACATCGACAGAAGGATTTAAAAAAAAAAAAAAAGAAAATTAATTTTTTATGTAATGCAATACTTAATTATAAAACAGCAAGTTTTGGGATCTTATTATTATTTCTATTATTACTCTTTACTTTAGAGAAAGTTTGATCTTACTAGAAGTAAGAATTATTGGTAGTAGTATATAGAATTGTTTATATATCTTTCCAATTATGGTTTGATTATTTCTTGGTTTCATAAAAAAATGGGGGCCAAGGACTCCTTAGAAAGGGAGAAAAGAACCATATCAGAGTTTTCACTGGTCCAAAGACAGTAAGAAAGAGAAGAGCAGACATAATAACTTGGCATGGCTGTTTAACAACTCATTAAAGCAAATAACTAATCAGCTAATTCAATAGCAGCTACTGCATTCAAGCTCTTAGAGATGGTCAAGATGATCGGATCAACTTTTTACAACCAAGAGATGAAGAGAGCATCTCTGAACTCACAACACATTGAACCCTGAAGCAGATGGGCTACAGCACCAGAAGACCACACCAGCTCTCACTCTGGGAAGAAAAGAAAACTCTGAATATGGACTGAGGCTTCAATTCACTCAAATTCACCAAAATTGGTCGATAGAAGTTTGAAAAAGTCTTGTCTGGTTTGATTTCTGCTGTAACATTCATGCTACATTGTGTCAGTGGTTCAGGCAGGTGATATAATGGTATGGTAGATATTTTCTGGACACACTTTGGGCTTCTTATTGGCCCTTGTGTAAATGCCAAAGCCTGTGTGAGTATCGTTGCTGACCATGTCCATCCGTTTATGACAATAGTTTACCCATCTCCTTCTTCCAGCAGAATAATGCACCATGTCATAGATCTCAAATATGCCTCAAAGTGGTTTCTTGAATATGACAGTGAGTTCACTGTACTCAGATGGCTTCCATAGTCACCTGATCTCAGTCCATTAGAGCATTGGGATGTGATGAAATGGGAGATTCTCTTCATGTATGTGCAGTTAATACACTGCAGCACCTGTGTGACACCAATATGGACAAAATCTATAAAGAATGTTTGCAGCACCTTCCTGAATCTATGACACAAAGAATGAATGCAGTTCTGAGGAAAAGTTGGTCCAAACTGGTACCAGCAAAGTGTACCTAATAAATTGTCTAATGAGATACATTTGTTCTTGTCAGATGGAGAGTTGTCCCTGCGTCTCTGCTGAGACATGAAGAGATGTATACATAAAAATACAACTAAAACACTGAAACAGACTTCAGTTCAGTCCATCCACCCGTCAGTTATGCACTCTTTCTGATAACATTTCCCCTTTTGAATTCAAATAAATAAAAAACTTTAACTATCACAGTTAACCAAAATACAATTTTTTCAGGGTTAAATTTCATGTTGGACTGCATGCAGCAAATATTACTTTGTATTATTCATTTAAATATTCTCCCAAAATATAATGCTGTGAATGGGGGAATCCTTCAACTACACACACACATGCTTTCCTGACTTACATTAATAAGTTTACTTTGCTTGGAAATGAAGAACATATGTTTTTTAATAGCTTATAAAAAACATTGTTAACTGTTAAGTCACTGTTGATTGTAGTGGTTATTTTTTAGTCCTGTAACTTTCAATCAAGTAACAATACAGGAAACAATGACATTACTTCAGCAGTAGAAGGAGGGAGTCCCCTAAACCAGAGGTCATTTGCACGACTTTGGTACTCAAGGTGAGAGCTGCTTTGGTGCTTCAGGACCTGGATGACTTTTAATGAATGCGAACATAAATTCTGCTCTCTACCAGAAAATCCTGAGGGAGAATGTCTGGCCATCAGTTTGTGCCATGAAGCTGAAGCTCACTTGAGTTACGCAGCAGGACAATGATCCTAAAAGACAATTAAGATAACAACTGTCTAATAATTGATCATATGTTGCTTGTGTTTGGTCTTTGAAAGGCTTCTGAGATTGAGGAGTCCTGGGGTCTGTTTGCTGCACTGAATGGAAATGATGACACTTTGGCCACCTCTCAAAATCCTCTCTACCTTGATTCAGAGTCTACTAACATGATTTTTGATAGAGGTATTTTAATTTTAAGAACCTACCTCAGCTAATTTGCCTCTTGTTTGGGCTGCTAATGTTTTACACTTGGACTACTCTAAAGGTAATAACATGTTCATAATAATATAATCACACACTAACACACACATACACACCCACCCAAGATAATGTGCAATAGTACAGGGCAGGTATGTGCGCCACAAGTTGACTGGCCAACGAATCATCACTGTTATCACCAGTTGGTACCAGACTTACTAGTCGTTTAATCTAATTTATAAAATTTTTATTGATATCCATTGCTGGTAAATTATTGTGTCCTAAATGTGATGCAGCCATCTGTGATCAGTGTTGAAGAACGCCATAAATCTGTTCATCTAGGCCTGATCTTTTTGTTAACACTATTGGATTGGTAAACACAAACAGAAAACCCAGGCAGCTTTCAGATGTGAGTGAGTTTATTAGGGAGGTGAAATAAACAGAAATGCAGTGGGCATGAAACAGAACCTGAGGAAAGCCTAAACTGGAAACAACTAATAACAACAGACTCGAAAGGGAGATGCAGGGAAACTCAAGGAGACCACGCAGGGAAGTACACAGGTTGACGAAGGGAAATAACACAGACAAACCAGCTATTAACAGAGGCAAACACAAGGCTTAAATACACAGAGGGATAATGAGGGAATGAGACACAGAAGGAGGACACAGCTGGGAGTAATTGACAAGACGAGACAGGGGAAGCAAAACTCAATACATTTACATACACAGACTTTCAAAGTAAAACAGGAAACATAACAGATGCAGACTTGACTAGGAGGGAACAGCAATCATGGAACACGGAAAACAGAAACCAAAAGACTAGAAAAGATAAAACAATCAAAGTACAATAATGATACAAAAACACTGGGTCACTGACCCAGGACCGTGACAGAGAGAGAGATGGTGCAAAACAGAAACTCTTAACTTTCAAGAAATATGCAAAAGAATCATAAATAAAGACGACTTTCTGTGTTTTATCTGTATGTGATTATTTTCTATTTGGTGTTTATTTGCGATTTGGCGCTGTATAAATAAAGTTGAATTAAACTGAACTGAATGTTCAACAGGAAATGAGAGTCCAACCAAGTAACACGTTTTCTTCTGTTGTCCATTTTTGGTTGTGCGAACTGTATCCTCGCTGATTAGATATTTACGTTAAAGACCCATTCAACAGGAGTTCCTAATGAAGTCCCCAGTGACTATATATTTTTATATTTCTATGAGCATATTTGGACTAAGAGATTCAGAAAAGTAGAAAGTGAAAATTCTACCCTGGTCTGGTATGGAGCCACTAGGCTTGAAATGCTTACAGTAAATAAATGTATGTATTCAGTAGGTAAGGTTTTTTATATATAGGGTACATACTATGTAGCTGTGTCTGTTTCACTGAATACCACTCTACATGTTTACCATTATGTTCGATAAAGGTTGAGTGTTTGCTTTACTCACCTCTTAGCGTGACCTGGAAAATATTGGACACACTTGCTGTCAGTGAGCGACGGGTATCGGGTGGTATCTAGGAAAAAGAAAATCCTATAATCATATTTCATTTTCCAAAATAGACCACTAATTGTTTTTGAGGTGCTGTGCATGGCAACAAGAGATGACTATCCAGGTTGTTGGAGCTGTAGACCACTGTGTTTGTGTCTCCATTTTGCACATTTTCTATTTAAACCAAATGGTTCCAGTCTGTATACACTTGCTGGCCACTTTGTTAGGCACGCCTGTCAAGTAATGCAAAGCATGGTCAAGATGATCTGAACACTTGTTACAATCAAGAGATGCAGAGAGCATCTCTGAAGTCACAACACATTGGATCTTGAAGCAGATGGGCTACAGCTACATGTCAATCCCTTTATGACCACAGTAAAAACAGACCACAGTTTTTAGCAATTCATAAAGTTCAATAAAAAATAAATTTCATTTCTGAAAAGTCCAATAAATTTCCAGGTACAAACACAGGTAAAAAAACACAGGTACAAATTGAATGATCCTGGTGAAATATAATGGTTTTTGGTCATCATGCAAAATATCAATTTGAAAAATATTGGGCATTTCAAAAATAACAAAGTGGTCAACTCACAGGTCACAATACTGTAGGAGTCACTATAACCAGGCTGTAAATTATTTCATAAGATGTTAGGTGGAAGGAACGAAGTATCCTCATTTAAGACAGAATAATCACTGCATAAAATAAAATCTGAGTTCTTTTGTTTTAAGGATCTTTAGGGTTAGTTTATTTTTCAGCAACAAATTCTCTACCTCCAGTGTGCATGCTGTGTCATCTCCATCAGAGATGAGCCCAACCACGCTGCTTAAAAAGGTAGGTTTGATGGAATAGCTCCTCTTTCCCACAGGGACAAAAGCTGAAAATTTGAACAAGGACAAAATAATTGAAACAAGGCTCAGAAAGGACATAGAAAATCACAAGGGTATACAAATTGGGCTTGTGTGCCGGCTTCCTCAGTGAGTGTGGCCATGAGTGGGTCCTCACTAGGGAATGATCCTGGATTTTGAACCCATAAATGTCAGGTTTGGACTTTCAGTTGCTGTTTGTTAATCTGTTTTTGACCTGCTCTGTTGTAGTTTCACAAGTTTGGGTTTGTCTAATATTAGGCTTTTGCTTAGTTTGTTTTAATTCGTATTTGACTTTTATAGTTTACTTTTAGTCGATTCCTTGAGGTTGTTTCCCTGTTCTCCTCTGTTACCAGTGTTTCTGTGTTAAATGTTTTGAGTGTTGTGTCCCCATTACTCCCCTCTTTATTTAAGGTCTTAGTTTACATGTGTGTTTTTTGTAGGATCTTTTTGTGTGCCTGGCTATGCAGAAGGTCATGAATTGTTGTGCACAAGTTGTTCACAGGAAAACCACAGGGGGTATCAGTACTTCATCAACACATACAGGTCACAAAGCTGCACAAATAGCAGCTTTTTGAAAGGTCCTGTGTGTGCATTATTAATATCACACACCACACGGGGAGTTAAATTAAGATGACTAGATGAGAATGTTTGTCTACTATTTGCAGACGAGCTGAGGTTAGCAGAATCTGTGGTTTGTTTTAAACGACTACTGAAAACTTATTTTTGTAGGTTAGCTGTTCTTTAATTTTTTGGTTCTCCTACTGTGAAATGTGTGCATATCAGTGTTTATGCAGGAATGAAAGAAAGAGCGTGTGTTTGACTCTGTGTTTGCATGTAGAAATATTTCTGATTTTAATGTGTTTTTATCCAAACTGCGAAGCTCTTTCTTTGCGTTTTAAATAATTATGCATGAGGTGCATGAGAATATTTATATGCTGGCTTTAAAGTGGTACTAAGCTCTCAATAAGAAGGTATATTACCTGGAACAACTGTGGTAGTTTGGTTGTAATAAGCAGGAATCAGAGCAGCACAATGAAAGATTACATACTCTGCTATATTTGAAATTAACATTTCCTACAACGTGAGTCAGTAAATGTAAATGTCAGGTCGTTCCTCTGTTTCTGTGGAATCTGTATTACTTTTTGTCATATATTACCTGATGTATGCTTGACATTAGGTAATATATGAGTGTCTTTAACAGTTCAACCTTGGTTGGATCTAACCAGCTGTACTGTAGCCAAATGTGCCCTGCAAGAAAACTGTAGCAGCTGTGCAACCAGCTACAGTACATTATTCTTCCTGTATTTTTTCACCATCATATTCTTTAAAATGGTCTTGTGAGGTTATCAAAAAACTGCAGCTGGTTGGTGAGGTGGGGTGTAGTTGTATGTTGCATGTTGACTATTTTTACAAGCCTCTGGGCCACACAGCACGTAAAAAAGACTAACTGCTAAAGTTATTAAAGATAAGAGTCAAAGAGCAACATATACACAGGCTGATATATTGTAGTTTTATAGGGGCACAGCCATACACTGCACAAGTATCATCAAATACAATACAATAAATGTATAATGTACAAGGTGTAATGTAGCCTCCTGTAGCCAAGTGTGCCCTGCAAACAAACTGCAGCAGCTGCGAAGTACAAGTAGTAACAGCTACATTATATTTTCTCTGTATCTTTTAATTATGATGTCCTCTAGCCTAAAACGGTCTTCTGTGGTTAGTCATAAAAAGTGTAGTTGGTGAGCCCTATTTTTTTATTGTCACAGCACGTAACAAAAGACTAACAACTAAATTAAAGATAAGAGTCACAGAGCAACATATACACAGGCTTACAAATTGTATATACAGTGGCTTGCAAAATTATTCGGTCCCCTTGAACTTTTCCACATTTTGTCACATTACAGCCACAAACATGAATCAATTTCATTGCAATTCCACGTGAAAGACTAATACAAAGTGGTGTACACGTGAGAAGTGGAACGAAAATCATACATGATTCCAAACATTTTTTACAAATAAATAACTGCAAAGTGGGGTGTGCGTAATTATTCAGCCCCCTTTGGTCTGAGTGCAGTCAGTTGCCTAAACAGAGTGCGCCTGTGTGTAATCTAATGTCAGTACAAATACAGCTGCTCTGTGACGGCCTCAGAGGTTGTCTAAGAGAATATTGGGAGCAACGACACCATGAAGTCCAAAGAACACACCAGACAGGTCAGGGATAAAGTTATTGAGAAATTTAAAGCAGGCTTAGGCTACAAAAAGATTTCCTAAGCCTTGAACATCCCACGGAGCACTGTTCGAGCGATCATTCAGAAATGGAAGGAGTATGGAACAACTGTAAACCTACCAAGACAAGGCCGTCCACCTAAACTCACAGGCCGAACAAGGAGAGCGCTGATCAGAAATGCAGCCAAGAGGCCCATGGTGACTCTGGACGAGCTGCAGAGATCTACAGCTCAGGTGGGGGAATCTGTCCATAGGACAACTATTAGTCGTGCACTGCACAAAGTTGGCCTTTATGGAAGAGTGGCAAGAAGAAAGCCATTGTTAACAGAAAACCATAAGAAGTCCTGTTTGCAGTTTGCCACAAGCCATGTGGGGGACACAGCAAACATGTGGAAGAAGGTGCTCTGGTCAGATGAGACCAAAATGGAACTTTTTGGCCAAAATGCAAAATGCTATGTGTGGAAAACTAACACTGCACATCACTCTGAACACACCATCCTCACTGTCAAATATGGTGGTGGCAGCATCAGGGTCTGGGGGTGCTTCTCTTCAGCAGGGACAGGGAAGCTGGTCAGAGTTGATGGATGGAGCCAAATACAGGACAATCTTGGAAGAAAACCTCTTGGAGTCTGCAAAAGACTTGAGACTGGGGCGGAGGTTCACCTTCCAGCAGGACGATGACCCTAAACATAAAGCCAGGGCAACAATGCAATGGTTCAAAATAAAACATATCCATGTGTTAGACTGGCCCAGTCAAAGTCCAGATCTAAATCCAATCGAGATTCTGTGGCAAGATCTGAAAACTGCTGTTCACAAACGCTGTCCATCTAATCTGACTGAGCTGGAGCTGTTTTGCCAAGAAGAATGGGCAAGAATGTCAGTCTCTAGATGTGCAAAGCTGGTAGAGACACACCCTAAAAGACTGGCAGCTGTAACTGCAGCAAAAGGTGGTTCTACAAAGTATTGACTCAAGGGTCTGAATACATGTTTGGAATCATGTATGATTTTCGTTCCACTTCTCACGTGTACACCACTTTGTGTTGGTCTTTCACGTGGAATTCCAATAAAATTGATTCATGTTTGTGGCTGTAATGTGACAAAATGTGGAAAAGTTCAAGGGGGCCAAATACTTTTGCAAGCCACTGTATTCTTATATACTGTAGTTGTATAGGGGCACAATCTATGGTGAAAGTCTCTCTGGCTGTGACAGATGTTTTAAAAGAGGAATTTCAGGCTGCTCATGTAAACATGAAAAGTGATGTGGATTACCTGATTGTCTGGGAAGATTTGTTGTATGTATAATCTCCATCAATAATACAGTAGCAAGTGTTTGTGATACATGTTTAAATATGTAATGAACACAGTATCCATGTGCAGAAAGTTAAAAAATTAAGAAACAACAGGTACTTACTGAGTACAGTTAGTAGGTTTATTTATGTTTTTAAAAAAAATAAATTATATAAACAAAATAAATATTTTTGTTTCACTGAATATGGTTTTCCATTCCAAAGTGTGACATGGCAATAGTACAGGGTTTAAATGGAAGATACATTTTTGGACATTCAAATCCACAATTTCTGAGACCTGCGATTGAAGTCAAGATTGGCTTTTTTAATATTTAGGCAAAATCCTTTACTTCAAAATGTGTCAATATAACTTTAAAAAAACAAAACGGGATTATTTTTTTCATTACCAAGAGAAAACTGAAAAGGACATGCAGTTAAATCCTTTGACCTTTTCCAGGCAGGTTTTGGAAGAACATTTTGTGTTGTCAGTTGACAGTTTGTAGATACACGTTTAATATGTTGTTTTCCCCTTTAGTTTGTATTAACACAAAACAAATACACTCCACCTTAAAAAACAGTTGAATAACACAATTTGAAATGCAAATGACACCATTAAAATAAATACACATTGTCTATTAGCTAATTTTTAAAAGCAGCAATTGTTTAAAAGGTGGACAATTTGGAAAGAAGCATATCTTATTATATGGCAACAGTATCCACAGTTCTAAGTTTGGAAATGACTCAGATGTTATGACTATCATCTTCCAAATTACAGTTACTTAAAACAAAATAATGAAGATCTAAAAGCATTTATTAAAAATGCAAAAGCTGAAAACTGCATGATCATGCCAATTATCCTTAAAAAAAATAATCTACAACAAAACTATTTGCAAAAAATATCTACTACCTGTAAAACGTTTCTGACTTTTACATGAATTAAAACCCTTTAAATACACTTTACTGACAAAATCACCAAAATGTTTCAGTGTGCATCAGCATGCTCTAAATCGTATCCTGTGAATCTGGTGCATCTGTTTCCTCAGAGATGGTGGCGTACACATGGTAAATGTCAGACTAGAAGATAAAGACAGTAATGTAAGAGTCCTTTAAGTCTGTGGCGATGATTAAGCCAAACAGAAAACATATTTAGTACCAGCTCTCACTTACATTTTCATTTTTCATCTGTTGCACGTTTAGGTTCTCCTCAACTGCAGGTAAGAAAATAACATTCAACAATTATTGCTTTCATTCAGCATTAAACACAAACACACACACACACACACACACACACACACACACACACACACACACAAACACAAACACACACACACACACACACACACACACATTGCTCTTGTAAGTCCGTGTAGGTCAACTGACTGTCAGGTTTTTCTCTGAATTATTCTCTGAGGTGACTTGTTGTGATTTGATATGATGTAAAGAAAATTGAATTGAACTGAATCTTTAAGAATCCAGGGTCTGTCTAGGGTGCTGTTACTCTAGATCTAGATAATACATAGATGCAATTTTGCTACAGAGACATGACATATTCCACATTGGTCATACTCAGAGATAATACAAGAAATTATGTTTAACAAGTTTTGATGATGACACTGGTAGTGGGTGTAAAACCGAGTTGTTTTTTATTTTAATTTTGATGATTCTGAAGCAATCTAATGATATATTTGTTTATTTATTGACATTGCTTGATACGCTGAAGGCAAAATAAAATGGAAAATTCTATAATCGTGCTTCAATATGTGTCACCTGAACACTGAAAAATTGTTTTTCTAAGCACATGAAGTAAGTATTTCTCACCAGTTCTTTTGAGTATAAGAAGCCCCAGTACCAGTAGGATCATGCCCATAATTATTCCATTTCTTGTCACAGCTGCTGCCAAATTCCATAATGACTCTGTTTTGAAAGCCACAAACAAATTTCACTTGTAACTCAAACACAAGATACTTTGCTATCTGACAAAGTTGCAGCAGTAACCATGGACTGAGTGAAAGTATAAGTAATATTATGGAAGTCTACGCAGTGTCTCTTACCTTCGACTTTCCCTGTAGTATCATTCTTGTTTGAATCTGTTTGGAAAAGAAAATTGATTTGGGCCTGTTAGCTTTGTATGTAGAGGTGTATATTTGTGTTCAGTCACTTAAAGCTGCAACAGCATGGTTTCAATTCTTCAGGTTCTGTGCTTCTGCACATTCAGTTTGAAATAATATACAGTGGGTAAAATAACTATTGAACACCAATATTTGAAGGTCTTGAGAGAGCTCGCTGGTTTTACCCACCATGAGATGCTTCTTGTGTGACACCTTACTAAACAAGACACTTTTTCTTTACACACCATCTCTGTTTGGTTTTCTAATTACTGATTAATTTCAGGCATCATGAATTTCCATGCCTTTTTACACCTCCCGTTTTTACCGCGTTCAGTACTTTTTCCCTGTGTCACTTCTCATAATTTAATTGAACTTAATTTATGGAATCTTTGGTTTGATGTTTTCCACGCGGGGCTTTAATGGGTCGTTGTTGATGTCTGGCGAGAATTTCATTTTAGTAGCACATTTAGAAATATATTTACTTAGAAAATTGGTGACATGTCTGACACTTATTTTACCCACTGTATATTTTCCATGTCTTAGATAATTTGAGTGGTTTTGCATCTTTTTTGGTATTTGCACAATCACTACAACATATAATTCTAAAACTAAAAACTGTGTTTTCTGTTTAGCAATGCAATCAACACTTCTGTCCTAATGTTGTCATCAGCTGGTCAGTTGACATTACACTGTTGTATTAGTTTTTATTTGGTATGCAATGGTAAACTAGTACTTATTAGGGAATGGAAACAATTATAATAATGAATATTAAACACACAAAAATATCTACAGATAAAATGTATCTGGTCATTTGCATCAATCAGGTTTATAATGAAGTGCCTGCAAAGTCAGTAACTTCCTTTCAACACCAGCTATAGCCCTGCTTACAAAGTACTTTTCTATAATTTAAAGGAGAAGTATGTTAAACATAGTATTGTAACAGCATTTGAACTGTTAGACATCGTTTCACTCTCCAGTCTTCAGAATATTTAGTTTGAAAAATAACATATAACACAAAAATTAAACGTCTCATCTTTCATTTGAGCAGATTTACTTTAATACAGAAAAAATATTTTCTAATTTTACCACGTAAGTAATTTATTTACCTGATAGTGAGTTCACTGAAGTGGTAGAAGTTAAAGTACTGGGTTTGTTGAGACTTGATTCTGTTCCATAAATGTTCAATAAAATGTTAAAGACATTTAAAAGAAGTGATGTGTAATGATGCTCTGGGTTGTTTGTTAAGTGTGTCCTACCTGTAAACATGATAGATGACGGTTTGTTGATCTTTGGTGATTCACTTTCCAGAATAGCTACAGTAAAAGGAAATGGGTTTGTGTATAAATAAAAGTTTTGTTAAGAAGTGGTGTGAAAAAAAGAAGTGATCTGGATTGATATTTAAATGTACTCTGTGTCCTACCTGTGGCTGTGGTAGATGTTGACTTTGTGGTGGTCGCTCTTGATTCTGCTTTTCACAACAGAGTAAAAGAAGACAAATAAATCAACATGACACGTTTTTTTCCTTTCACACAGTCATTTTAAAAGAAGCAATTTTGGAACTAAAAACAAATTTACTGTCACAGTACTGCAGCATTTCCACCCTAAATGCAAGGTTGAGTTAATCAGTCATCCCCCACTTTGTTTCAAACTGAAATATTTGGGGACCTGTTTTAAAATATAAAATTAGTTTTTACCTCCACCTTTACTCCAAGTCTTTACTGAAAATGTTTTATATGTCTGTTAAATATTTATCGTTCTCATCTTTGTATTTCTCTGGTGCTTGGTGCCTGTGGTGTTGCACTCAACAGTCACATGGACAGAGTTAATTATTAAGCCAAGAAGAGAAATTATTGGAATCATGGTATTATTGTTATTCTATTAATAAAAGGTCTCTAAGATGAGACCTTTTATTATCATTCAGTGGTCAAAGAAAGGACAGAGCCAGTGGACACTGTGGATTTATTATCAGCTCAGCTATCAACGCAAATCTCTCTAACTGTGACTCTGGGGACAGTGAGCAGTTTCTTTGCACAGGAAACATTTGACACTGAAAGCTGATGTGTATTTTTTATTTTTTTTTGTTATTGTTGTTGTTGTTTTATATGTAAAGCAGTTACTGTTGCTTATCTCTTATTAGCAATAAAAAAGTAAAGTATTTCTGTTATGGGTGTAAGAGCCAACATCTCTCAGTGAAGGCTGATATTTTTCATTTATCAAGTTATTAATGGTTTTACTTTGGAAAATTAAAGCAGTGCTTTTCTGTTAATCTTATTCAGCATTTTTATTTCAGAAATCAAAAAATACTCTATAGAAGTGAGGATGAAAAACAGTAGTTTTGTATTTATTTACAAACAGATTTAATGATGAATCCTCCCCAGGTGTATCAGAATTAAAATGGCCACTGCCAGTGGCGGACTCCCTCAGACATCGGTGCGTTGGTGGTTCTTTGTGTCTGGGGATGGGCATCCAGGTACACACCGGCTCACTCCTTGGCGGCCGCTTATCGGGGCCTGGAGCCTGGGGCTTGGTCGGGCCACTTCAGAGGTGGGGTGCCCCCGGCCTCTCGGCCTGGGGCTCGGTCACTCAGGCACAGCTGGCTGCCGGCGGAGCTCACGGGCGCGTCACTGCAACTCCCCCTGGCTTCTGCTCCGCGGCTGCTGAGTGAACCCTCATCTGGGACTCTCCTCAGCTCTTTCTGGGACAGTGGCGCGGCTGCCCCTCTGTTGGTCTTCCTTGGTCTCTTGTGTTCTGGGGGCCTCTGGATGTCTGGAGTTTTGATCTCCTCCATACCTGCTTCATGCCCTGGAGGACGGGGCTGTGGCCCCCCCACACCCTCTAGCAGATTATTACATGAAGGAACCTTTTAAAAAAACAAGTGCGTCCATGCTCACAGGTGTACACACGGGTGATCACACCCACAAACTACACCCCTTTTGGCTCCTACCTCAAAGCACACTGTGTTCTGTTGATCTTATGTGCTGCACAATAATGTGTAATATTTAGTATTTACTGTCATATTCCCATATATCATTGTGATGTTGTTTATTCTATTACTCTTGTTCTCTTCTGCTTGTTCTCTTTTTTCTTTCTCAACAGGTGATCCAGGTGATTGATATATGCATTTTTTTTCCTGCCCATTCTGTTGGTTTTTGTTTTTTGCCCTTCTCCCCCGTCCCTCTTCTCAGCTGTTTCTCTTTCCCTCTTTCTTTCTCCCCTTCTTTCCTCCAGTCAAGTCTGTCCCGTATTCAGCAAGTGAAAATAAAATAAACAATAAAAGGTGAATCAAATGAACCATTACGGCAAGGCTGGGATGGTCAGTTTGGTAAAGTAAATCCGTTGGGCATCTTTCTTTGCCTTTAGACAACAATTCTGATGGCAAAAGAGCCAAACGGGACAGGCCAAAAAAAAAAAAAAAAAAAAAGAATTAAAATGGCGACATAGTGTTTTATATACTCATTGCACGGATGTGTCCTTGTTGTGGAGTTCAACTGATGATGACTTTCTTTTTCTAATATGCTTAACTCAGATGAACACACTGGGAGCTGAATGAACTTAATATGTTAACATGGTGAGAATTTAATGAATGCACAAAGTACACACAGCTGCTGTATCATGGTACATAGAAAAAATCTGGTTAAAACTATTAATAAAAAAAATATTATGGATTTAAAATGATTGAATTGTTTTTACTTACCTGATGTTTTCTTGTTTGAGGTATGGTTTGATTCAGGCTTTTGAAGTTTTGGAACTTCTGAAGTGAAACAGAAACATTAAAAAAAAAATCGTGTTTTTCCATTTTTCATGTACTCATAACAAAATCACACATTGTCATCTCTACTCATGCCATGCTCTTAGGTCACACTAATTGTGGGACTCAGATTAACAGACTTTTCTATTTCTGATTAATTACTGTCACACATAACCTATCAGTAATTTAGTTACCTGATGGTGGGGTTACAGGAGTGGTATTATTGGAAGCACTGGGATTGCTGAGACTCAGTTGTGCTGCATAAATACATAAAAGGTTTGTTTGTTTTTAATTTAAAGAAAACATTCACAATGTTCTGTATGTTACTTAGATGTATAGTCTGTCTTACCTGTGGTCATGGTACATGGTGACATTGTGCATTCTTTTGCCAAAATATCTAAAAATTTTTAAAAAAAAGTGTTTATGTATATAAAAATGAATGTGTCTATATTTTGATGGGTGATTTTGTTGGTTGGTTTTCTTGTGTTTGCCTGTGGTGCATTGGGAGTCATCTGCCGGGTATTTAAGGAGCACTGTGACAGCTCTCGGGTGTCGGATTGTTGTCTCGGCCTTAAGTGGTAAATCATCAACCGGCTTCTATGTAGTACTTTGATTTGCACGACATTCACGGATCGTCATCTCTTCTGCTTCACTGCCCAGCCATTCTCAATCTGGAGTTATCCTGGCTAACTCTCCAAGCTACCTCCCTGCTCACCTGCGCTGCCTGGGGTCCACGTCGTCCCCACTTCAATGTCCAGCCTTAAGTACCTCGCCCAAGCCTCTAGTAAATGTGTGGCAAGTAAGCTCTCTAACTTATTCCTTGTGCAGTCTCTCGTAACTCCTTTGCTCCGTTTCTACAGGTCGCTTAACTGCATTTTCTCCTTTCCCCCTCCGGACAGTTTGAGTTCTCTGTTCAGACAGAACTGTCATGTTTGTTAAACTGAACTACAAACATTAATCGAAATGTTTGTAGTCCCAGATTTAAACCTAGTGGGGAGTCCCACTAGGTTTAAATCTGGGACTCTCCACCATTTGACCTTAGAACTGAAGAAGCTTCTCAGATGAGAGGTGAAACGTCTTCAAGCAACTTAAAGAAGTCCAGACGCTTTTCTTTGCAAGCTCCTTTGACTACGATGACCTGGATGACTGAGAACCTTCACAGACATTAATTGAAATCCTGAAATTCAGGATCTTTTTCAGAGCCAGAGGAAACACTAAGTGACTGCAGAGATGAGGTTTTCATAAAACACCTATAAAACATGAAATTAACAAAAATACACAGCAGTCTTTAATAATAAACTCATTCATTTAGAAACTGCATTTTGTGACTACTTGTGTTTTCTTTGTCTAATATTTACATTTGTTTGAAAAATAGGAAAACAGGAAGGTTTTTACACCACTGTATGTCTTTGTAAACTACCCCTTCTTGGGAAATGACAACAATTATTGAATATTAAAAACAGATGAGATCTGTGTAGGAGATCAGAGGGTTGTAACCAAGTAGAATATTAATGATTTCATGTCAACCTCAGCTGCAGCCTTGCTCACCACTAGCACATGCTGGGCTCAATGCTCAACATTGTTAATATTTACAACGCTTACAAAATGGCTTACTAAGAGTTTAATCATAGCTGAACTGTGACTTTATTCACATCTTCTGGCACAGCTGCACTCTTATAACCACCAGTTCCAATAATTTTGAATTTTTTTTTTCAAATAAATTCAAATAATTTTGAATTTTAATGGACAAACAGGCTGAAATTCAATAAACTGAACAGAATTCAGTCAAATTAATCAGATCAACTACAAGAAAAGATGGAATAATTATACAGCGACTAAGGCACACTTTGTAAAGTTATGTCAACTTCAACATTCAGTAGCAGTTTATTTAATTAATGTTTTATTAATTTCAAAAGTAGCATCATATACACTAAAACAGGTTATGCTATGTTTCTCTTTGACTTACCTGTCATGTTGTATCGATCACTGCGAGGTGACAAAGACTTGGGTTCACTTTCCAAACTGTAATCACAGCTGGCATCCTTTTGTTGAACAAGAAGTAGATGCTTCAAAAAATCAGCAACTGGGACATAAAACTGGCAGCACCTCTGTTTGGTTTTTCTCCTGCTTTCCTTGGAGACAGTTGGATTTAGGACTGGACGACTTGCTTCTCCAAAGTACAAATTACATCTTGTATCATTTTTCACAGATCCAGGCAGAGAGCATGTGATGAGAACATATTCTCCATTAAAATGCTGAACACTCATCTCTGGTTTCTGACCTGCATGAAGATCAATGTATCATCATTAAGTATCAGTCACATACTCGTCATGTTTCAACAGTGCAATAATAAAACAGTGTTGACATTCACAGAAGTCCTACTGTAACACTGAGTCATCATGTTTTATAATTTACATTAACATACATGTGTAATGTTAGAGTTTAATCTAAACTGAAATGAGAAACTGTCTGTCACTTCGTACGCTGACAAAGATTGTGTTACTGTGTGAAGAGGGAGAATTCACATCTGCATACTGCACAGTGTAAAAACATCTCACTTTGCCCTCAGAGGGTGACCTCTGATGTGGCACTAACAGCATTTCAGTTCCTGTCTGTGTCTGTAAACGTGAGAAACCTTTGATAGTTTCTTGCTCCCCAGTATAAAATAACCTAAACATATTGAAGCAGATGATGGTGGCTGACAGTGACTGAGTCTGTCTCTGAGATCACTGTTGCATTGGTCCAAGACACGCTAAACAATAAGAGGTAAAGAGGCGTTTTATCAAAAATATAATTGTTAAATATGACAGTGAGAAATTATGATTTCAGTAAAGAGCAACTCATCAGAAGAAAAACATGTTAAATGTTTAAAGAACAGCTTGAAATTAAAATAGTAAATTGTGGACTGACCTTGTCCTTGAAGCTCAGGTGAGGAAACTGTCAGAAAAAAATGACAAGGTAAATATATATATTAATAAGTAAAAAAATATAAATAAAATGTAGAAACATTTTTTATTGTATCAGAGTCCAGATAGAAGTCAAGATCAATTTAATTTAACACAGGGAAATTTCTTTTGGACTCCATACTGAATTTTCTCAATACAAATAAAAATACAAATAAACAAAATAAACACACACTGCATAAACACTCAACACAAAACCAGCCATCAAAAATTACTGCTACATAAAATGCAAAAACTTTCAGGATGTTTAACTTACTCACGAAGATGACAAATAACAGGAGTCCAGACATGATGAAGCTGAAAACTACAACTGTCCAGAAGTCTGACTGATACACTCGATCAATCATTTTGCAGAACTTACACAGAGTAAAACCACAGGAAGTAACAGTGCTGAAACTCCCACATAAAGACCACAAGCTACACAGTGAACAGGCTTTTGAAAGTGCCTATAGATGTTAGCCTGAGCTAAAACCACAGGAAATAAAGAAAAGGAGAGCATGTTTTACACCATTTCTGTTGCTGTGGCTTTCTGTGATCCAGATACAGATCCAGGCAGAGAGCAAGTGATGAGAACATATTCTCCATTAAAATGCTGAACGCTCATCTGTGGTGTTTGACCTACATGAAGATCAATGCAGTATCATTAGATATCAGTCACATATTCTGCATGTTTTACCAGTACAAAAACGACGACAGCGGTGATAATCACAACTGTCCTACTATAACACTCAGTCATCATATTTTACAACTGACGTTAACATTTTCGATCCCCTGAAATTTCTTTTAACACCACATGGAGGCTGAAATGTATTTTACATGTATTCGACGAATCAATAAAATTTGACATTCAGCCTTCTCAGATGATGCGTGAGAAACACATGTTGAACTGGTTAAATATCAGCTGGACCATCACATCATGTCTGTTAATATGAACACACAGAAAGGTGTAACTGAAATCCATCATAATTTTATCATAACAGGTTTTTATATGAAATACAAACAGTGATTCTGTATCAGGTTTTTGTATCTGCAAATTTAGTTCAGTGTAGTAGGCTAGATGTTTATAACCAGAGACCTGCAAAGTAATAACTGACAACAACTGTAATTAACTTTAACATACTCTCCTAAACATGAAGCACTGTCCACCAGATTCCTGCTAAAGGTAATTGTATGATAAATGATCTAATAACAGGAAGAAGAGTCTCTTACTTTGTATGGTGATGGAGGATGTGTCACTGTGCGGTGAAGGAGAATTCACAGCTCCATATTTCACTGTGTAAAAGCATCTGACTTTGACCTCAGCAGGTGATCTCTGATGTGACATAAACAGCAGTTCAGCTCCTGTCAGTGTCTGTAGACACGAGTTGCCTTTGTTACTTTGTTGCTCCCCAGTATAAAAATAACAGTGATGAACTGAGGCAGATGCTGGTGCCTGACAGTGTAATGTGACTGAGTCTGTCTCTGAGATCAATGATGTGCTCACTGTCAGTGTTGGTGGAAGAAGAGCTGAAAGATTACAGGGAAATACATGTATCAAATATCTAAAAGGTTATTATGACAACACTCTGAATGAGAGAGATTTGTTGTAAACAAACAGTGTGTGAAAACTTTGTTTGGTTATTTGCAGACTGTATCAGTTCATATGATGCTAAAAGAACAGTTTGAAATTAAAACTGTCAATTGCAGACTGACCTTGGACTTGATACTCATGAGAGGAAGCTGTCAGAAATAACATGTCTAACAAGGGAAATACATGCATGTGTTAATAACTGGATATGAACACATATGTAACATTTAAACAATTAAACTGTTAAAGTTTGAGTTAGTTCTTGCTCAGAGTCTGTATAAATGCAGATTTAATCCAACAAGAACAATAGTTTCTCAATAAACTAACCTGCATAGAATCACCAGCCATGAAAAATGTAGGTAATTTGCAAAGATGACCCTGAGTTAATTTATGGTGAAATCTACAGAGAATTAACTTACTCATGAGGATGGCAAACAGCAGGTGTCCAGCCATGATGAAGCTGAATACTGCAACAGCCAAATTAAACAGACTGATTGTTATTTTGCAGCACTTGTTCAAACTAAAAAGACAGGAAGCAACAGCACTGAACAACAGCCAAAGACCACAACGATGCAGCTTTCGAAAGTACCCGTACTGAGAAACAAAGAACCACAGCAGAGGGGTGAAAAGAAGCTAATGAGAGGAGCACATTTGAGCATCATTTACTTTGAATTTGTGTGGGTTAAAGGCCTCACTATCTGCACACATGCATCACTTGCATTTATTTTCAAAGCACTGCAACACATGAAGTATTCACAAGTTAGTTCATAAGACAGTAAAGCGCACATTTTAGCTTTTGTATCTGCTGTTACCTGATAAACCTGTTACCTGATATTCTGCCTCTTTACTGAGCAGTCTAAATGTTTTCTTGCTTCATATATAGATTCATTCAAAGTTTCAGTGATGAGAGGTCAAATCAAATTTAGTTCCTGCCCTTTAGCTCTATTAAATAAATGTATTTATGACAACACTGAAGTCACAATGATGGTTTTTACTGAAATAGAGATTTTTAACACCTCTACAACACATCAAATACATCTGCTTTTGATACAGACAAATGTGCGCACTGAACAACAGTTGAAACGATGTTCAACATTCTCAAAAGTGGGACTCAGCTTTTTCAGAGGGAGAATGATACATTCAGAAAGTGCCGCATTCACTGGAAACACTACATCCAGATGAACAGAATCAACATTTGGAGATTTTCTTACCTGAATAATTGAGTATGCATAAAGATGTTCAACATTGCACTATCAGACTAAGTTTAATTACATCTGCACTCTCGGATAATACTGAAATAATGTTACAATCATGACTACAGACCATGATCGACATGATTTTTTTAACCAACTTGCAACCCAGAGACAATAACAGAGCGCTCTACATATCCAACATTTAAGACATCTCAATCAGTGGCTCATTGCAAATCATCAGCCTCTTTTTTAAGTAATGTCTGCTTGCTATGTTATTTGTGTTTCTTTTGCTGTATGTCTGAACGCATGGAGACTATATTCATATGAAGGTGGAGGAGAAAAGATGCAAAATGGAGCCCACTACATTGTATCTTTTAGGGTTACTGGAGCTGTTGTTTCTCTATGAAATAGACAAAATAGAAATAAAGTCGCATAATGTAATGGTGCATGCTGCATGCAAATTCAATAAATGGATGAAGAACTAATATTAAATGCACGAGTGGTTAATTCATTTTCTCAAGGGACCACATGGGAAATTGGGACTGTTGTGAAGGGCTGCATCAATAAGCTGGACTCAGTTCTGTTTAATACTAATGTTATCCGATTATAAGCTTACCACAAGAGTCCTAGTGTCCTGTGTGGCCCCAGAGGAAAATTCATAAAACATACTCTGAATGGAAAACCCATCATGTCACCACTACATTGTGTTTTCAGAGGAGCCGCGGCTGAGTTTCTGAAGTCCTCAATATAAACATATCAAAGCCATTTTTTGTTTGTAGGCATTTCAAGACCCAAGGCTGAACTCAAGCATGAACTCATCCTCACCTACGCAAACATTTTTACACTCATCACAAGTCTGCCTCTGCAGTCACTGAGCAATCTAAATTTGATTTTGCTTCATATGTAAATTAGATACAAAGTTTCAGTGATGAGTTGTGAGTACAAATTTAGTTCCTGTCCTTTTTCTCTAGGAGGTAATTTTATCTATGAGAACACAGAAGCCACTAAGGTGGTTATTACTAAAGTAAAGATCATTTTCGCACGTCTACAATGTGTGACACGCATCTGCTTTTGACACAGACACAAGTGTGCACAATGAGATAGCAAACAATAGTTGTTCAACATTGTGCTATCAGTCTAAATTTGATGAATTCTGCATTGAGCATTGATATTGTTTCTTAATCAGTTTTGCACCCTCAGATAATATTGAGATAATATTAACAACATGACCAGAGAACTTCAATAATAAAGCTAAACAGCAACAAAAATAGGGAGCATCTCAAACACTGGCTGATAGCAAACCAGGTGTGTGACCACCCAGAACTCATTTATGTATTTATTTTTGTTGTATATCTTTATGTCTTTGTTCATTTTAATGTTTTATGTGACGTGGCCTGGGACTACAGATATAAATGATGAGTTTGGTTATAACCTGGCATCTTTTAATTTTGGCATACTGATGTACATCAACATGCAATTATCCAGTTAGATAAAGAAAAACATTTCATTTAATCAATACTGAATTCTGACATTGTTTTTTAATCACTTTTGTGGCATTTCAACTCATATTAAAAGGCAAATTACTAACAATACTCAATACTTCAGAGTATTGTACTTCTGTATCTACAGCCAGGATAAATTGTGTAATGATGTTGAAATATATTATCCTTATTAAACTTCTTATTATTCATTTAATTCACGTTAAATACTTTTTAGAATATTTTATTTAGCTTGAAATTATGTCTGGGGAATTTTCTCCTACCTCTGTGATGTCCTGCCTCCATCCAGCCTAGACTGTAGCTTTGAACTGCTTATAGCTAAAGGAAAATTCTCTGTGTAATGCATTTGCACCAACTACAAAAGAAAATACAAAAACACAATGTGAATAAAGCACGTGAAATTTTAGAAACCTGTCAAAAACTAAAAATGATTAAATTCACATCTCAAAAGCTAATTTTGAGCATAACATTTAACCACCTAAAACAGTTTATTTTACTATTACAAATATCATCATAAAGAGGTGCAAAAGGTTGCATAAAGTGCCAAATACAGTCAGCAAAGATATGTATGTGATAAAGTGCGTTTCAGTCCCTGGGTAGGTTGTCTCTTGGTCATAAATCCGTAATTTTTAAATATTATTCCCAAAATCTCGATCAGCCAATTAAAGCATACGTCACTGTCGTCACACCGTCAAGTTTAATCAGTATTTAACATTGATCCAACATTTATTTAGGTCTGAGATTTCAGTCTCAGCCACAACGACGATTCAAATAAAAAGGCAGCGTTGTTTTAATGTCGCCTTGCTATCTGTGCATTTGAAGCACTGCTTGGGTGTTTTGACACCGGATGAGGTGACAGGATTCAGTGATAACACATGAAGTTGGATGAATCCGCGGTGGCTTTCAAATCCTAATTTACCACACCTGGTGCGATGCGGTTCACCTGGTCTCATTATACCGGAAACAACTGCATAAAAACGGAGACAGTTGCCAAATAAAAGGAGAGTACGCATATTTCAAGACTTTAACTTGTCTGCCTTTATTGTGTCCCGTTTTTAAATTTAGATTTTAGTGAAATGCCTCCCAAAAGGCCACCAGCATACTCCACTGAGCCGTCTGATTCATCCACAAGCGAGGCGTCGGTGGATGAGAAGCCGGAAAAGAAATCAGGTCTGTGCGCAAAAGGCGAAAATCTTTAAGATGGAACGAACTTTAAAAATTATATGTAAATTTACTCTGCGTAGATGCTGCGCCTCATCCATCCACGGCGATCATGGTGAAAGAAGCACTTCAAGCGTTGGACTCGCGCAAAGGGGTTTCATCCCAGGCGATACTGAAGTATATCACAGAAAAATATCCGTCGGTGGATTTGGCGAGACTGAAGACTTTAGTTCGCAAAAACCTGAAGAAGGGAGTGGAAAATGGGACGCTGGTGAAGCCTGGAAACTCCAGCGCGACAACGGCCACGAGGAGATTTAGGGTAAGAGGTTACATCTGCAGCTGGGTTCAAACGAAGAGTTCAAATGTCAATTACGGGTTTCGTCTTTATTAAGCTTGCACCGAAGCCTAAACCAAAAGCCGAAAACGCAGAGCCCAGTGTGAAGAAGTCTCCAAAAGCAGCCAAGGATGGAGCCAAGAAGCCCAGGAAAGCGGGTATGAATGACCGTTAAACCTCGAGCGAGCAGTAATTTAAGCTGTTACTCGGTGTCAACTCGTCATTTCTTACAGGTGCCACAAAGAAGAAAGACGCTGCAAATGGACAAACAAAGTCCAAAGAGGTGAGCGGACGCAAGTTTGGCTTTAGATGGGAAGTTGACTCTTCATGTATTTAAGAATGTGGATGAATCTCATGGTAATTTACATCTATATTCATGGTCAGAATGTTACTTTTGCAGAACTATAAATTTCAACAAAATGTACAGCCTCACTAGAGAAAAATCCTGGAGGGGGGAAAAAAAAAAAAAAAAATCCAAAATTGCACAATAGACTTGAGCATTTATTTTAAGCCAGATGTAGCAAATTTGATGTATTTTACTTACATATGACTTGATTTGGAGTGTGTTTGATCATTTGTCAGATTCATCTTAAAGTGAATTTTCTGGCAATTGCGTTACAATTCAAGCTTTAAGGGGTTAATCGCTTGGTAAAGTGTCCTGAACATGTCAGTTTTCATAGGATCTCTTATTTGTCTGGTAAAGTAGTTTACATTCTCTCCAGTGGTCATAAAATTCTGACATTCAATCTACTGCTGTCTCCTAAATTCCCCTTTTGCCTTTTAGGACTCAAAGCCTCCCAAAAAGTTGAAGGATGAAGAGGCTTCTACATCAAAGGTTGCTCCAGCGAAGAAGCCAAAGGCTAAAAAAGCTAAACCGACTGGGGATGGTGAGGAAACTGCTGACTCGACCAAGACTAAAGCAAAGAAAACAAAGGAGTCAAAGCCTGAACTTGTAATTCTAGACTGTTTTTATATCGTTTATCAAATAAATCTAAGTTTTTAGCTCGAGTGCATTTGAGTATATTCTAATTACCTTTAATACTGGACTATACAATAACTAACCCCAAGCATTGCAAATGTATTGAATCTGGCACCTAATTTACTTCAGACCTTCTGCATTTGTGCTACTGAAGGTCTAACATGCCCTACAATGAAAGAAACCTGACCGATTTTTGCAATTGTGAGTTTATGACAGCAAGTCTATAATGCTGTGTAACCTGGTTTCAAAATAAAAAGTCGTTCATCTGCAAACATTCTGAACTTAACGTTCAGGTGGCAGCTTTTCTGAGTGAACCATATTTGCACAAGTCTCAGCAGACAATTGTGTAAACAAGCTGACCTAGTGGGCTCCTCACCAAACTGAGTCACTGTTTCTATAAATCGGTGCATGTCCCTGAATATGTTGACCATCCTCAGCTGTAGATTCATGTCCTGTAAACAAAGGATTCATTCCTGTGTAACTCGGACTTCACTGTATGGGCTATTGCTTTCTGTAGTAAGACACAAACACTAGATTTAAGTTTCCATACACTGCAGTAATAAAGATGACTGAGGGGTGTCTGCATTCATTTTATTTGTTTCAAAGATGTTAATTGCAGAAGGGTAACTGGTGATACTCTAAAATAACATCCCAGTGCCTCCACAGGAAAGACAAAAGGACCAGAAAAAGCAGCATGCAAAGCATTAGAAGGGCTGTCTTGAAAAATGGGGCCACCCAGCTGCTCACTGTGGACATCACCACCAACAGCACGGTTATAAAGGCTAGCGATACATCGATTAGTTTTTCAAGTACTGTCTGTGCAGTGGTATTGACCCATGTCTCTGGATGCCCTGCATCCTCTTCTTTCTGCTGCTGCTGCTCCAGCTTGAACTGGCGTCTCTCACAAGCCTCCAGCACCTCCTGCATGCCAGAGACAGAACTGAAGTTTTCTACTGCCCAAGGAGAAGTACAGTTACAAAGTCAGTGCTAAAAAGATGCCAGGCCCTTATAGTGGTTAAAAAGGGCCTGGCATCTTTTTAGCCCTGTCAGAATCTGTTTTTGGAGTTTTTTCCTGAGGTGGAATAGTAAAGAGTAAATCTGGATTTTTTTTTTTTTTTTTTTTATTTTTGTACAGAAAGGAAGAATCAGCACATCAGTTACATACTGGAACAACTTCTCTTGACATGGGAAAACATTATTTGAAACTTGCATAAAAATCTTGTGTTGCATCAGAAGACCGATCAGCACTCTTCTCCGCTGTGGCGGCTAACTCTTTTTTCAAGTTCCAAACGTCATTCTGATACTGTTCTGTCAAGTCAATGAATCGCTCTTCTAGAGATTCCCTTCTGCAAAACACAACACTACATAAAAACAGCAGATGGTTTCAGCCTATACAGCTGTACAGAGTAATATAGTACCTGTTCTGTAAGTCTTTAAGGTCCTCAAAGAGCAAAGAGTAGTCTCGTTGGTGACTCGCATTTAAGTTTTTAAAGTGTTCTTCAAGTTGGCTGTGGTTTTCCTGAAGCTTACCGACGTACTTCAGTACATCATCAAAGGCCTCGCTGTGGTCACAGGTACACTGCCTTGAGCTACTGTATAAGATATTGAAAGAGACATTTTAGTCAGATTTTGCACCACAGTTGCTGAATAATTGGACTGAAAGAAGATGTAGAGGCCTCCTGTTTGTTACTAGCGGTATTTGGATAACAGCGTGCTTTCCAGATGACGGCTGTAACCTGAAAATTGGTCTGCCTCAAAGTGGGTCTCTGTGGGGTGACTACATATATAAGCATGTTTTTTCCACTTACAGTAAAAAGCAATGAGCAGTGTGTCCTTACTGATAAAATCTGTCTTTTACTGCTGTTTAAAATAATAAAACAATTTCTTAAAAAAAAAAAAGTGAGATTAAATTAAAGTCTTTAAATTCAATGGGTTTTTTTTTTTTGCATTAGGACAAAAATTCATTTAAAACGATTTATAAGCACTCATTTTAGTGTGGTATCTGCTTATAATCTATCTATGCTTTATTTAAAAAGTCCATTATGTCACTGTTAAGTTGTGCTGATAAAATGGGAAATAACCTATTACAAAAATGACTGAGAGAATAAAAATTCACCCAGAACTCCAAACCATCATCACAGTCGATCAGCATCACGCCAGGGCATGAGTAAATGTTGTATTAAATGTCATTTCTAGAGTGCATGAAACATCCAACACTTGTAAATGTTAATATGCAATCACCAGCCATTTTATTAGGTACACTTTACTAGTAATGGGTTGGACCACTTTGGGCTAAATTCTTCATGGCATAGATTCAGCACAGTGTTGGAAACATTGTGTGAGGTTATCATGTCAACCCCACTTTGCAGTTATTTATTTGTAAAAAATGTTTGGAATCATGTATGATTTTCGTTCCACTTCTCACGTGTACACCACTTTGTATTAGTCTTTCACGTGGAATTGCAATAAAATTGATTCATGTTTGTGGCTGTAATGTGACAAAATGTGGGAAAGTTCAAGGAGGCCGAATACTTTTGCAAGCCACTGTACAAATCCCTTTGAGGATGTGTCAGGAAGAGTATCCAGTGTAAAAACTACCCACTGTGCCACCCACTTCTACTGTAAGCATGTTAATATACTGACAATATCATCAAAGCTCAACTCTTCCTACGTTCCAAGAGACTGTTAATCTGGATCTATTCTTTTTCACATCTAAGGTTGTGGCCAGTGAAATGAAATGAAATCTTGCGAGTAACAACTAAAAAACATTTTTAGAGAAAAATACTTTGTATACTTTTATTTTAGTCATTTTCATCATTTTAATGTATCAAAGTAGCATCTGTGCTATAAAGTCTGCTTATCTTCGACTTACCTGTTAAGTTGTATCGATCACTGCGAGGAGACAAAGACCTGGGTTTCCTTTTCAAAGTGTAATCACAGCTGGCATCTTTTTGTTGAACAAAATGTAGATGTCTCAAAAAATCATCAATTAAGACATAAAACTGGCAGAACCGCTGTTTGTTTTTTGTCTTGCTATTCTTCCCGACAGCTACTGTGAGGATTAAACGACTTGCTTCTCCAAAGTACAGATTACATCTTGTATCATCTTTCACAGATCCAGGCAGAGAGCAAACAAACCGAACATGTTCCCCATTAAAATGCTGCACACTCATCTGTGGTGTTTGACCTACATGAAGATTAATCAAGTCCCATTAATATACAAGAATATTGTATGTTTTACCAGCACAACAATAACAATACTGGTGTTCATAAAAGCTGAACGGCAACACATTTTGTAATTAACTGTAACTGGTCATGTTTAGATTCCTGCGTGCTGTCTTTGGTGGTTTAAGAAAATATGTAAGAACAACACTCCTAAAAAAGTTTTGTGAAAGAAAACATGAAGCTTTATAAAGATAATAACGTCTAACACACTGTATGATAACTTATCCAGTCACAGGAAGAGCAGTCTCTCACTTTGTATGGTGATGGAGGATGGTTCACTGTCAGCAGATGTTGAATTAAGGTCTCCAGTGTAAAAACATCTCACTTTAACTTCAGCAGGTGAACTGTGATGTGACATTAACAGCAGTTCTGTTGCAGTGAAATTCTGCAGGCATGAGAAGGCTTTGGAAGTACTTTTGCTCACCGTGTAGAAAAAACACTGATGAACTGAAACAGATGTTGGTGCCTGACAGTGTAACGTGACCGAGTCCATCTCTGAGATCACCTCTGTGTTCACTGTCAGTGTTGGTGGAAGAAGAGCTGAAAAATTAGAGGTAAAGAAATTTTTGATCTAATAGGTAATTTTTGGTTTTAATAAAAAACAAATATGCAGTCAAAGAAAATCTTTGTGAAAAGTAGAACATCAGGGACTCACCTTGTGCTTGAATTTCATGAACGAAAGCTGTTGGAAAGAAAGTCTGTCAACAACGTACTGGAGGCATGTATGACTCATTAATACAACAAACTGTCTTTTCAAGATCACAGGGAATCGTCCTGCTGAGGAAGTTTTAGTTTTTGATTCCACACGTTAGTTTATCAGTTAAAAATATAAACAAGGAAGCACCAAAAGAGAAAAAACTGGTTACAAGAGGTTTAACTTACACATGAGGATGACAAACAGAAGGTGTCCAGCCATGATGAAGAAGATTACTGTGACTGTGCAGAACACATCTGAAAGTCTGACTTTGTAAAGGCTGATGTTCCAGTTTAAGGAACGTCACAGGAAAACCACAGCAACAATGAACGCTTTTACACAGCGGAGCAAATGAACGTGAACAGCCCTTTGAAACTACTTATGAGTTTTATTTAGATCAAAGAACAAGAAAGGAAGTGAAATAAAGACAAGCATGAGTACATTTGTGTCATTTCTGTTGCTATGGGCTTAGTTTCCCAGATGTCTGTCCTAGCCTGTTTGGCGCCCTGGGCGAACACTCCCTCTGGCGCCCCCCCCCCCCCCCCCCCCCCCCTCCACACACACACACACACACACACACATACACACACACACACACACACACACACAGACAAAACATATTAAGGATTGTACATTAACATAAAGCTGTTGTACACACACACACACACACACATATGAAGAGAGAGAGAGTATGCATAGTATGCAAACGGCTACCAAACAGCCATCATAATTCGTCATACAATGAGAACAGGACAAATCAACAATTGACAAGGACTAATTAATATTAAAATCTTTAACATAATGCATTGTTTGAAGTTTAGTCTGTTACTGTTACTATTTTTACCATTTCTTCTTGCAGCAACTGTAACGTACATAATTTCCTTAGGGATTAATAAAGTATTCTGATTCCGATTGTTTCAGGATGACCTGCCATTATCCAATGACACATCTGCTTACCTGCATCTTTTGCTCGTTTCTCCTCCTCTTCTTTTCTCTTTTTTTCTAAACTGAGGACCTGATGGCTTTGAACTTTTCTTGTCCATCTTCCATTGGTTTTAATTTTGCGCCCCAGTATGAACACCCATCCCTCAACCCAAGGATCACCACAACATGAT